AAAGAAAATACATAATTATGTAATTGTTTAACTTTTTTTTTTTTTTAAACATGTTTGAAAAATGTATAAATAAAGTGCAAAAAAACCCCAAAACAAAGCATCTCCTTGGCTCACTGTTGCCATTCAACTTAAGCAAGGGCTGAGATATACAGTATGCCCAGAATGCCAATCATATTTTAAAAGCACAAACCGACGACTAGTAAATTTGCTACTTGACCTGAGAAAAATTTGGTTAATTCACTAAGCAGGTGTGTTGTGGTATTATTGGCAGATAAACTTGCCTCTGATTCACTAATCACCTGCAATCCAGGTTAACCACTGGACTGTATTTAAATTAAGTAGTCAATCATTTCAGCACACGAACACATGCTTTCTATGCAAATGTCTCAACCCAATAATTGTAGCACTACAATTTTTAATAAAAATGTTGTTGTCCTTTTAAACAGCTTCAAAATTCCTGTGTGAGGTATGACTGTGGGTAATGTATGTTGTAAAACTTGAAACTTGAAAGCCTCTTCAAGTACTATTTAATCTCAGACTTTATTTTACTCATTAAAATGCTTTTAAAGGAAACCTATGATTGACAATGCTAGTTCATTTCCAGGATGTAGGACTGAACAGCTTTGTTCATATTTTGTGATTTCGCCCCAATAGTCTTTAGCAAACTAGAGTATATTTACAGTGGTACTTATGCCACAATTTTCTATTTGCAATAGATTTTAATAGACCTCCCATCAAGAAAACATTATATGCATGTATGGCAATGATAATGATATATACTAGAAATATGTTTTTTGTTCTTTTTGGTCATATAATTAAAAAAAAATTAGCATTGAGCTGTGTTTCTTATATGCCCTGAGCTTGAAACAGGTGGTGACTGCTATTGAGAAAATGTGGACTTACCAGCCACAGCTCTCAGGGCAGAGGCTATTGATTGAAATGCAGTGTGAGGATCATGATATGCTTTTGAAAGTTATGCAGTACTGTAATTGTGGCGCTATCTTAAAACAAAGCACATACTTTGACTTTTTAGGTTTTAAAGATTAATGGATGCTGACTTTTGACTTCTTTCAAATTTGCTCCAGGAGAAATTATGGTAATATGTTTAGCCGAAATGCCATCAGAGAAAGTATTGCAATACTGAATCAATTAATGACAAGAATCTTTCAGCTCATAAGAAGATGAGCTCCAGCTATTCCCTGTGGATAGAGTCAGCACATTTAGTTGCATGGAGAGCTGATTTATCACAAATAAAATAATTGTGAATTTTGGCTGCCAGCACGTAGAGCTTGGAATATGTATGATGATTTTTACTGCCTTCTACTAATGCAGTGTGTTGGCAAGTTTGTTTTTAATTCAAAGCTGTGCAATTACATCAGAAGTATAAAAGTGATTTGATTTGACTGATTTGGATGTGAATGCTCATCCACACTATAATTGCGTCTCTAATTTTAACGTGTCAGTAGGGATTGCTTGGTATTTTATTTTATTTTAGATTATTTCAGACCACATGTTGTTGTAAAGAAATCTGTCATGTATAATTTGTGAAGATTTTAAATTTAGCTACAGTTTGTAAAAAAAAAAAAGGTTTGTTAATTGGAGGCCACGGCAACTATTTTGTTGGCTAAAAAGGTTTTAAATTTAATTCCATCAATCCTGCAGATACATTGCTAGTGCTAAAGCTCCTAGAAAATCAAACATGCTACTGTCTTTCAAAACACACAGCATGGTTTAGATCGCATTAGTGAATCAGTCTGTCACTTAACAAAGATACTGTTACTTCATCTGACTAACTAATGATCACTGTAGACATAACAGGTGCTTTCAAGCATTTTATGGGATGTTTATGGAGCAACAGCTGTCCGCTAATCTGAACAAGAGCGGGAGGAATACTAATAAATCTGAAATATTGATGAATAAAACATTAACTCGAGGAGGTGGATACTCTATTGTTATGTAAGAAGACTTACATAATTCCATCGTTGATCTGTATGGATCATGCTTTAAAACTGAACAACACCAAAATGAGAGAACTGAAAGGCACAACGCTCAGCTCGGGTGAATCACCTCCTGAACCACCTCATTAACCTTGTCTATTGATGACAGTTCTGCTCTTCAGATCACAGAAGAACCCACACACAGTATCTGCACCTCCTATTCTAATAGCTAAACCTGCTTAGATGAACACGCTCAGGTCTACACCAATGGCGTTTGCAGTCAATATATGATTTGTGCTAAATCGACATGTTTCAATGAGTTTAGTCACGAAGACCGAATTATTATCACCTACTCCTTTCATCACGCTTTTCCTTTTCTTTTCCTCCCACAGCTGCCTGCCTTCACATGTAATTAATTTGAGAAAGTAGCTCTATGTTCACTCAGGCATGTTATAGCGACGTAGCGAATGAACCAGTGACCCTGCAGCGTAGACACTTGCTGTTTCCTACCGTTTTAGACTCGCTGAAGAATAGTTTCCTTACAAGTGGAGAGAGTCATTAAATAAAGTTCTTGTAATGTTAAAGTTAACTTTGCCTTGGGAGAGTTACATTGTGTAAGTTCACGCAAGTACCTTGTAACGTTGATAAACTGAAAGGTCAACAATAATTTTAATTGTACAGAGAGATGTCTGTCGTGTACTGTATACATATGTTCTTGTTGTTCGCTGCATGACAGTTTAACAAGGCTGCTCTTTGAAAGTGTGATGTCTTCCTTTGCTGAAAAGGCCACCTTAGACAGGCTGGTTTTGTGCTGGTCTAGCTTGGACGACCAGCATCCAAAATATGCTGGTGAATGGAAATGTTGGTCAATGCAACAAGGTAATGTGCTGTATTATAATAAGTTCTGTAAAATAATGAGGTGTAAAATAGATGTGTTAGGATTTTTTATTTCATTTTTATTTGTCACCCTGAATTCATTCTGTAATGCCGAATACATCTGTGATAACTTAATGGAGTCATCACACCTCTGATGTGCAAAGACATTAAGTCATTTTTGAGTTGCCAAAATCAATGACCAGCGCAAAGGGAGAAGGCACAGGGACAGGTGAACCTGAGCCTGCCATGTAACGGCCAATCAATAACCGGCATTGTGTTTGAGAAAGAAAAAGAGGACATGGCTGTTGTGAGATGCACAAAGGCCAGTTTAATATTGATTTCTTTTAAAATGCACTTTTTATTTCAAGCTATGGTCTTTAAAGCCAGTATGTGTCCTTAAATCTTAAACAAAGAAAACTTGTAGTTGAAATATTTTGTCAGGCTGTTTTTTGTAATGTCACACAGCATTTTCGTTTTTGGTGTGGATAGACGTATCCCTTGTCGTTGGACATTGCATCACAGCACCACGTGACGCAGGGTTAGAATTGTCATATTGTTTAGCTCACAGAATAAAATATCAGCAAGAAGCATTGCAATTTTTCTTAGGAAATGGCTTTCTGGAATTTCCAGGCTCAGGTGGACAGGAATGCAGTTGTAATGAGGTGCCAGAAATGGCAAAATAACATATAGTGTGCTGTTTCCTTCCAAATGAATTGTTTTTTGGCTTTAACAGAGGAATTTCTGTGTTATTTTGTCTTGTTGAATATTGACTTAATATCAAATTAAATAAAGAGTTTAGAAACTCTTAGCAACTTAAAATGTCACTCTGAATGAACTGAGATTTTGTGAACCCCTAATGGTTTGTGATGGAACAGCTGGACGATCATGAGATTGTCAAATAATATTTTTTACTTAGTAGATTCCGGTTAAC